TGTTGACCGGCGACGGCGAGTACACGTAATAACCCCGATGTGCCTCGCGTCGTTAGTACTCCATCGCCGTCATGCGTCGCTGTTGCTGTTGGTAACAAGGATACCAAGGCACCATCCTTCCTGATAATGGAGGAGCCATTGGATGACTGCCCATGGGGCCGGCGATACAATTCGGTCGATCGCTTTCCTCCGTTGCTTTGTCGTTGCATGTAATTTCTCCTCCTCTCGTATCCTTTTTGCCTCCGATCTTTCCCTTACCACGTTGTTTTTTATTCCCTCCATTGCTATTCATTCGACTAGAGTTAGCCCGATCTCCGCCATGGCTATGAACATCGCAATCATAAAACCCTAACAGGGGCTTTAGTCTTCATGAACCTACTACATTTTAAGTCTTAATGAAAAATTTCATCCTCAATTAACCGAAAAATGAGACTAAATCCACTAGGAGCTAGCAACTTCCTTTATTTGGCAGCATAAAATTGGGCTACATTTAGTTCCAAAAAACAATAGGTCCCACAAAAAAAAGTAGTATCTCATGTGAGCAAAATTCTATCACTCTCCTTACACTTGTAATTACATTTATACTCTCCTTTATTCTTTTTTTTTTTACTTATGTTTCTTACAATTTGGCTGATATATGATTGTTTTAAATTTCATAAAATTAAAATTTCAATTGATTTAACGTTCATGGGCATTGGTGGGTGAAATTTTCAAATAATTTTTTTTCAAAATTGTATGATACTAATTTACCAATTGGTGCTAAGTAAATAGTTGTGTTGTACGTGAAAATCAAATTAATTCAGAGGGTGAAGTGGGAGTTTGTATCTTTTAACGGATGAGATTGAGATAAGAGACTCTAATCAAACAAACGGTTCATAAGTGATGAAATCTAACTTTGTCACCATTTTAACATTTTTAGGTTGAAAGATTCATAAAAAAAAATAACACATCAAAAAATCAACTTAAGAAAAGTTTAACACAAAAAAAATTATTGCATAATCAAATATATATATATATCATATCATATAAAGCCCGAAAGAAATAACCACTCATTGAGAAAGATTCTTTTATAAAACCCTAAAGATTCCTCGATGCTCTAAAATAAGCTATATCCACCACTTTTCTAACCCCTCTTAACATAATACACAGCCACTTCTTTCAGCTACCCTCAAGGCCGTCCCTAAACTTCGTAGATTCTATTGTATAAACGAATAATTGTCGGTGGGGTCCACCAGCAAGGGGACTCCCAAAGGGGACTCTTGAAGTATTACACAAAAAAAGGAAATTGGGTAATCCCGGTTTCTCGCAAATTACAAGTGTATCTCCTTCTCTTCTTGCAACGACCATTGAAACTTTGGAAAATAAGAGTTAATGTTCATTGCAAATGATGCTGCAAGTATAACACTGAATCTCATCTCTGGTGGTCAGCTGAACTGATTTGCATAGTTTAACTCGACCTCTGTTAATGATTCAGGGGTTATCGATGCTGAATCAAACGCGAAAATTTAAATCAAAATATTACAATTAACAAACCAACAATTTGTTTCATTTTCCCGTCTTAGCTCCCGTTCTGTGTTGTTTCCATATCCTCAGCCATTATAATCTCCATATCCCTAATATCTCGCTTCAAAACATTGCCAAGTCTCGCAACGGCTTCCGTCTGCTGCTGTAACACCTACTCCACATAAAAAGTATACTCATTTACCCAATTCTGATGTTATTATATAAAGGAAGTGTTTCAAACCAGTCTGCTTTTACCTCTTGCATAGCAGCAAGACTCTGTTCATGTATTTTGGTTGATCCTGGAAGATAACCCAAACCACCGCCACCAATAGAATTCTCTTGGACACGGGATATGGTTAATAGGTTTTGTACCCTCCTAGAAAGTTCAGCTCCTGATCCTTTCAGCTGGAAATCCATCTGCTTGTTAGTATCTTCACCCAATGACAGACAAAGAGTAGTATGCACATAAAAGGGATAAGGGGCATAATAATAACGTACCTGTCCTGTAACTGCAGCTAACTTCTCAGCCAACTCTGCTTCACCTTTCATTAAAGGCAGTCGGAAACCCTTGCCCTCTAGTGCCTCCAGTATTCTCATCACCTTTTGGAATAACAAAAGAGAACAAAGATGTTAAAAACACTTGGCAAAGTACAAAATGCATAAGCTACCTGCACAAACATGATTTAAACCCTCCAAGCAAACAACAATCATAAATCCGGCCCTCTAGATGTTGGTTAAGCACTGTAAGTCACAGGGCCAGATTGCAATGACGGTATTTTATTCTAAGCCAACTTCAAAAACAACTTGGTCAATAAAGGACAATGAGGTCTGAACCTTATTTTACTTCATTACTATGTGAAGCTTTTAGCTTAAGGTAGACTAGAAAATTACAAGGTACTGATGAAACCCATCTTACTTGTTATTCACAGTTTTTTTAATATATTGGAGAAAGTGTACCCACCCTCAAAAGGCGCCTTTGAAGACCTTGTTCTTTTTGTCTCATTCTTTCGATCCAAGGAAGAGTGTCAGCTTGAAAATGCCTTTGAAGCTGCAAATGGTAAAAGATGTGAGACCCATTTTCAAATTATGTGGTAATAGTAGATGCACATTTGAACAATAAAAGGTACCATCTTGACGTTGCTTTGGGTCATTTGCAATCTCTCAGCATCTGAGAGAAGGACTTCATCTTGGAGCTGCATCAATTCAGTTTGACAACATCAGACATTAGTACATGATAACGAATTTCTCCAAATATATACGTTGGTGTCACCAACTGGTTCTTGCAATTTTTTTCTACTCAAACCCCATATTAGTTTAATAATTGCATAATAGCAGTGATCCAACCATAGACATGGGACAGCAACTCTAGTGGGTAACCGACAATTTTACAGAATAGTTTACCAAGTCTCAGTCAGTAACTGCCATCTCAGAACTCATAAATATCCCTGGACGGTAACATCTTAATCCAAAATTGGCATTCACGAACACCAACCAGTGAATTTTAAGTTTTAACAACAAAAAGACTCAAAATATTACTTAAATGTACTATTTCCAAGTAGCAATTAACACACAAAAATGCTCTAAACAATATCTCTATGCTTCAAACTAACAACAATTACCTTCAGTCGTTGAGAGAGATCTTTAAAACCCTGAACAAGCTGAGGCCACAGGCGTTCCCTGTCAGTACTTTCCAGACCTTCAAGCTTCGCCAAAGCCTCTGCCCACATTATCTGGCAATGCAAACTATTCTCCAAACTTAGCCAGAAAAAAGAAAAAAAAAAAAAAAAGCCAGATAATCCCACTAGGAAATAAAAGGGGAACAATAAACTCACATCCGATACACCAGCAGGCTTCACCCTGAACTGCGGATCAGTTACGCTAAACAGCAAATGCTGCAAAAATCAAGACAGTCATTCATTTCTCACACGAATCTCCGAAACTAGGTTTCTCAAAAGCAGAGGAAGATAATAAATTAGGGGTTTAAATCAAACATGAACTTAATCGATTCAGCACCTTCAAAATTCACAACCTTACTGCCATTTTCTCAGGAACCAAATAGACAGGTACAGATATCAAGGGCGTGAAGCCAATGCATTCGAAAATCTAACAAAATTAATGCAACAAAAATTAGAAAAGAACCTTAAAAGCATATTTAGGGTTTCCAGGCTCGTCCTTGTAAGCATCAACAATTGCCTAGCAGAGAAAACCAAAATCCGTCAAATCAAAACGAAAAGTGAAAGCTGGGGTTAGGTTACGGTTTTGGCACTGAATCATCAATTAAAAGAAAAGAAAAAAGGAAATGCTTACTTGAATATCGCGATCGGCGAGAGAGAAAGGGAGAGGAGCGACAGGAGCCATCTGAGTCGTCAATTGAGAATTAGGGAAGGGCGTCGGCTGCTGCGGCGTAGAGAACGGAGCCTGAAACCCAAAGCCGCCAGCAGACTGAGGCTGCTGAAACGACGGCGTTTGCTGCTGTTGCTGTTGCTGCTGAGTTTGAGAAGAGAACGGAGTGCTGAATAAGGAGCCGCCGAAGCCACCGGCGGAAAATGCAGACGTCGACGGAGTTCCAAAGGCCGGGGTCGAAGGAGTAAAGAACGATGGGGTCGAAGATGGCGTACCGAATGCCGGGGTCGACGACGGAGTCCCGAACGCTGGGGTCGACGACGGAGTCCCGAACGCTGGGGTCGACGACGGCGTCCCGAAGGGGGACGACGAAGATTGAGCTCCGAACATTGTCGCCGCTGCGGCTGATCTCACTCGCTGTTGAATGTAGAGAGAGAGAGAGTGGTGTAGCTCAGCTGTTCGACGTTTTGCCTGTGCCTGCTTTTGGTTTCTTTGTCCCCGCTTTTTCTCTCACTAGATTTAAAGAGCGAGCTGGCGCAGCGGTGTGCGCTCTCAGTCTTTTTCCCTCTCGTTCACATTAATCAAATGATTTTGGGGTTCTTTTTAATTTCAAAATTTTGGGGGCTCTTTTATATTAAAATTTATATTTTTGGGGGTTTTTTTCAATTTTTTTTTGTAAGGAGGACAACTGGTGACAGGGCACGGTTATTCATCAATATCAGACTTGGAAAGGCTATGGGAAATTTCTCCGTACCCGTGCCACAGTCAAGCAAACTCATCAGTTCGAAGCATCAAACTCGGACCCTCTCACATTTTTTTGTTTATTGGAGCTGTAGTGCGCGCCCTTACCACTGAGCCACTTGCTATGGTTAATTTTATGTTTAATGTTAGTTGAGGACAATTATGTATCAATGAGAGATTAACCAAGGTAGATTTATAAAATCCAATTGAGGGGGACGTAGAAAACCTAGGTGCAACAATCCTTTCTCCTTTGATTCTTTGGAGGACGGTTGGTGCCTCGACGAGACTGTTGATGAAGAGCTAATCTCGCCTAATACTTCTCTACAAAAAATTTATTAAAAAAAAAATTTGATTCATTTGTAATCGAGTTATTGGAGTTGAACCGTATTTAGATCAAAATTGGAGTATCAGAATGAAAATCTCAAGAAGATAAAGAGAGAAGTCACAGAGTGATCCGACACGAATATAATCGAATGCAATGAGGTTAATACAAGTAGACTCAACTCCGAGCAATGCACGAAGCTGATTTCTAGCGTCCTAATCGGGGCAACGGAACAAACAAATACAGTTGCACTAGAGTGTCCTAAAATCCAGTCAATACAAGAAGTTCACCAACTGATTTTTAGAGTTTTACGAACGTCCTCTAACCTTCGCCTTTCGGGCACACCTTACAGTTTCACACCTTGATTGTAACACAGCACAAGCACGGACCGGACATCTTTACCTCAGAAGTCTGCCACTCTGATCCTGGTGCTGCATTTGGATCGTACAACAAAGTACGATAACCAGGCTCCTCCTCGAGCGAGAACAACAAAAGTTTCTCGTCCAGTGTCCCAAATCGGAACTTAATGCTTGTGCTTCCTGTCAACGGAATCTGTACCATCTCCCAAGAATTGTCGTAGGGATTGTAAATTGAAAGTTTGCGCTGGTTCTTCCACTCCGAACAGAACAGCTTCTTTTCCAGCACAGCATGAGCAGTGACCATGACACAACCATTCTTCTTCATCTCGCACCAGGTGTGACTCTCAGGGTCATAGACATCAACAAACTTCGAATTACCAATGGTGAAGCTTGACCTTCCGCCCATAACATACAGCTTTCCTTCAAATCCACAGGCAAAGCAGCCATAGCGGGGGCGGCGAATACTGCTTATCAGGGTCCAAGTATCGGTGTCAGGATTGTACACCTCGGCACTGGATAGACTGCTGCCATCTATACCATATCCTCCAACTGCGTAAATCATACCACTTAGTTCTGCACAAGCAAAGTCATATCGAGCAACATTCATGTTTGCCAATTTGCCCCACCTACAATTACGAACAAACGATAAGATTGGATTCTTATGAAGTTAAGCTTGTGCAGAGAACCACACTTAACATACAACATTCGTTAGAGTCTAATATGTCAGCGAAAGTAGCCATGGTGAGGGAAAATAAGGGGCATTCTTATACATTTATGAAGGTTTTGCAGAAAGGAAATTAAAGGAAGAGACTGATCACTGAAAATGGACACAAAACAAACCTGTTGAGGCAAGAATCATATTGGTAAACATCGTCTGATGCAACGGTGGTCTCGGTGATCACAGAATATCCACCAACGACAAGAAGCTTTCCATTGAGAACCACCACCCCAAACCCAGATCTCATTGGACCAGGCATGGGAGGAAGAACATGGTGCTTATGTCCATGGCAATCTAAAACCTCCCAGTGGTTTTCCTTTCCTTCGGAATCGGTTGTCAACACATAGAGCCACTCCTCAAGCAACCCAGCTAATCGCCGCACAGTGATGAGTTCTTTGCTTTGAAGAAAATACCTCCATTTCTTACACACACCACCCATTGCAGGGAAGTCTGAACGAGGAACAAGCGCAAGGCAATATTTTGCTATGTCATCTGGCAGTCCAGGCAGAATGGGGCTGTCAAAATCATCTACAACCAGAGAAGTCAAACTGCGATAGCTTTTTTCACGAATTGGTGTATCTTGCTTGACCGAATTGGATAGGCCCATATTTGGATCTTTGAACCTCTTCTTTTCACTCACAAAAGCCGGCATCTTGTAGATTGAGAAGCTATGTATGTCAAACGAGATGCAGGCTATATCCCCTATGATCGGTTAAGTATCTCCCAACAATGCGTATTCTTTTTTTAACAGCAGACTTTTGATTAAAGGAATTCATGATATCCGTCACCTATAGGAATTTTACAAGACCAAGGCATAAAATATGTCGCAGAACGCACAACACAAGCAGTATACGCAGGAAATTTTCTGTGTCTTCTCCAGGGTTCAAATTCCATAACAAAAGTTCTGTTCCCAAAGTAGCTGCTCCTTAACTTCTTTCTTGCACCACACATTGCCCAAGTACCTGCAAATCGTGGAGCAAAATTAGCGGAATCTTGTTACAAGAATAGGAACAAAACGATAAACATTTCATCTGCGGTCGAGGAGTAAGATAGGTCGAAGAAATCATACCAGTCAATGCTATATTCTTGGCAGGTTTTAGCCCCCAGTAACTTCCATAACATGTCCAAGTGGATAATCACCTGAATGAATCACAAATGTGTCAGAAGTTTCAGCTCGAATATTGCCATAACACAATTTTAGCACTTCAAACAACAAGCCAGTGATCGGTGATTCAGACAGCAACAACCGAAATTCAACAAAAAAAAAACTCTACTCCGCATTCAATTCGCGTATATCACTTTCGGGGGAAGTGTCTATTTGTGACACTAACTTTGTAAAAACTTCAGATACAAAGACATGAACACAAAAGATTGATACAAGCGACGAGCAGATCAACTACTGGCGGCCTTCGTAGCCAAGGCCGGCAGCAGAACTAGTCCAGACGGGCTAAGGAAGAAACCTGCCTACCCACTTTGTTTAGCTAATCAGATTCAAAAAATCTTAATTTTAGTACCCGATCTAATAATCCTTTCAGGATACAATAAAATGGAGCTCAAGACAACCAGATCCAATCACAATTAGACAATGATGCGATCACATAACGTAATATCTCGATCAAAACCAATGCAGAAAATCATCAACTGAAATCCCACACCGAAAAAGAAGATAACAGCCTGGAAACGTTTGCAAATATACACGAATTTCAGCTCCTGAGAGCTAAAACCGCTCCAATATTATCATTCAAACCAGCAGGCAAGGTTTTAATTCTCCGACGTGATCCACACTCTCGATAACAGAAAATTTGAATGATATCTGAACACGTAAAAATACCAATATCTTGAACAAATCGGAATAAAATCCAAATACGTCGATTTGGGTTAGCTTAGCTAAGATGGGATTAGTGAAACATAATAATTAATTATGCATAATTAAAGCATAAACTATATCCAAACCTGGCCGTAGCCAAATTGGCTAAACCAGTGTGCTCCCCTACTCAACCTCAGATCTCCTCCCGTAATTTAGATTAGATTAGAATAACGCTCGAATTCAAAACAGCATAAACTTTATCAAAAAGAAAAAAATGGAAGCTGAACTTAGGAAATGTTGAAAACAAGATCATATACATAAGCAAAAGCAGGAATGTAAATCTGAGATTAACAGAGAGGATTAATGAAGATTACCTAAAAAAGGGAGATTATCCAGAAAAGTTTCACAGAATTTGGAGAGAGATTATAACGTGTGAAGGAGGAGGCTAAAATTAGAAACAATCAGAATGTTTGATGAGTGCTTCAGAGAGCGGAACACGAGGAGTTTTAATAGGACCCGAATTACATGGGAAGAGGATTAAATTGACGACAAAGCCCCCGACCACGTCAGAGTAAGAAAACTGACGTATCGATATCCTCTCTCTGCATCCGGAACCAAAGTACAAGAGATCTGAGCCGTTTAAAAAAATGGTTCAGATTCTTAATTTGTGTGATATAAACAATAAGATGAGCTAATAAAAATCGTATAATATAAAATAAATTATATGAATTTTTAACTTCGTCAACTTTGAACATAGAAATTAAAAAATAAAAAAAAATCGATTCGAAACAGACGATCTTAGTTCTGTTTACGAAATAATGGGAAAATAAAATTAACTTTCTATTTTTTATTTATGAAGTTATCTTTTTTGTTTTTATTTTGGGATAAGGATTGTCTGCTCTCCACTTCTGGTGCCCGCTCTTCTGTTTGTGTGGTAAAATAAAATAGAAATGAATAGTAATATAAAATGTTGACGTGACTTAACCGTGACCACACAAAACAGGAAGGTACCGAAATGGCACCAGAAGTGGAGGGCAGACAATCATTGTTCTTTATTTGGTTTGATAGTCAGGAATGACGGGTGGGGATTGTCCAGCGTGTAATGACTCGGAGATTGATTTTTGTGTGAATGATCTGCGTGGAGCAGAAGTGAGGTTAACCAAATCAGAACTCCCGGTCAACGCACTTGGTCATGAAAACAAGTGATGAACGACTCAGAAGCACTTTTGGACGACTTAGGATTCAGAAGCACTTTTGGATTTATACGGGAAAAATAAATAATGAGTACTATATATACATGTATAGTATAATACTGTGTTTTTATGTATTTTCCTTTTTTGTGAATTTTGTGAATTTATTTTCAGAAGATAAATGAGTTTGGACATTTATGGGAAGATGGGATCGGACAGTTAAGTTGAAGAGGATGGATCGGGCATCGGGAAGTACAATCCGACCTTGATGACATTGTGGACGTCTGCAAAGTTGGATCGACTGGTTTTTGTATTCACAGCAAAAAATTACAAAAGAAATAATATTATCATTCACAGTAATTGGATAAGAACTATTAAGGCTACTGTTGTAAAAGATAAAACTTAAAAGATATTTTTCTGATATTGTTAGTTTTCATGAGCTGTAAATTAGTTAGATGAGCTGTCATTTTTCATAGGTTAAATTGGTTGTATATATAATCTTCTGTTGTAATCTTATTCATTAAGAAATACAATCATAAGTTTTCCATCAAGAACAACCATGCAACTGGAATGTAAGTTGTAAGTTTTCTTTGTGTACTTGAGCTACCGGTGTTGAATCTTAGATTGCACTTATGTTATAGGTAAGTTTCTCTCGTGTACGTATCAAATGTCCTCGATGCAATCTACTGAGTGCTGCCAAGATATAACCACTGTTCTAAAAATCCCCGCTTAGGCGCTAGGCCCCAGCCTGCCACCCCGATTAGTGCCTAGGCGTTTGAAAATTAAGAAATTGCGCCTAGACCTGTTGAGGCACCCACCTAAACCGCATAGGCACCCGCCTAGACCCGCCTAGGTTGCAACTCACTTAGACAGAAAATAGATAATTTTCATTTTGCATTTTTTTTTTCCAATAAATTGTAATAAACTTGTTGCATACTTAAATGAACACACATTATATCCTTATTTCATATGTTTTCATTATGTTTCAATATATCATGATATATGTGCATTCTATTTTGTAGTTTACGATGAAATTATATATATTTCAAGTATAAGCAAAAACTTATTTACATGAAATATGATAGATTTACTTAAATCCACCTAGTCGGCCTAGGTGCTCGCCTAGTCACCTAGGCGCTAGGCCCCAGCCCGCCGCCCGACTAGCGCCTAACGACTTTTAGAACCTTGGATATAACTAGAAAGTATTTATTAAAACACTTAGTGGGCACATAATAGACCCATTCCAAAAATTCGAAGAATCTTCGAAAGATGTTTACATGTATATTTTTCAAACTCTAAGTGATACTAAGATCACCTTGACCTCAATGTGCATTCACCACTGCATAGAATAGACGAAAAATTGTTACAATTGTACAATAATATTGTTAGTTATATAAAACCACCACTACTAAAAAATTGTCAATTCAAAATCTCACTCTCATTAACAAAAAACAAAAAAAATAAAAGATATATGGTAGAGAACGGATTACTCTCAAGATATTTTTCGTTATGGAAACCATACAAGTATCTCCATCATTTTCGTAGTCGGCATCAAATACTGAAACACACATATATAATGGTTCACACACACACACACACACACATATATATATATATATATTGCTCGGGTGAAAACAAGAGATTCTAAAAATATCTGGTACCTATTGCAATGCGAGTCATGCTCCAAGTACATGAATGCGATCACAAAATGCCACACAAGCATATCAATTCATCGCATGTTTTCTTCCAGTCCAAAATTTTGAGGAGGGCATGTGCCCCCTGTTCTTTCATTGGCTTCACACATCCTTTTTTTCAAAATAGAGACTAATTGTGGGGCTTGTATCACATCGAACTTTAACAATCTGAATCGTCTATTTTTCAGGATCCACCTCATAGATAATTCTTGCAAAATATTAGCAAAATTAGAAATATTTAAGGCATCTAATTTATTTCAAAGAAACTAATGAACATTATGTTTTAAGAAACATTAAGATTTCATCATCATAATTAAATGGACAAATGGTTTGGGATTAAATTGAATTTTTGAAAGCATGATTTATGAATCGAGACTTACAAAATAGACAGTTCGGATCGTTGAAGTTCGTATGAAGTGAGTTCCATAATTAATTCCTATATATATATATGTGTGTGTGTGTGTGTGTGTGTGTGGATGGTGTCTAAGAACAATATATAAAAGATTGTTGGTTTATAAGCATCTAGGTTGAAAATGGACCAAGAGATTCTCAGTGTTTAAGGCTGCTATCAACTCTCGAGAGCCAGAAGAAAATGTGTGGTCTTATCCATTAAACGGTCAATTTCAACATAATCTATAACATTCCTTGATTTCCTTCAAATTACGCCACTTGGTAGGTTAATACTTCAACAATAATTCCCCCAATTTTTGTGATGCTCATGCAAAGTGAGGTGAAAATCGACATCTTCATAGTGATTTTTGAACTGTTCTTTTTTCTTTTTTTTTTCTTTTTTCCTTCTGTCTGCTCCTCTTTTTCCTTTATAAATTAGCACGACATGAATTTCTATCATTTCAGAAAATTTGCATAAAACGGTTATCTCGCCAAACGTTGTTAACAATCCACATATTATACTATAATTAAATGATATAATACTCTCTTAAACAATTTATAGCAACACGATTGATATATCATGACCATGTAAGAATCACATGAAAAATACTCCCTGGGATCGACGTAATTTATGTTTGGATTTGTGGTTTTCTGTTGCGGTGGGATAAAATCGTTTTCTACTGCCGTTGTGTGGGTCTGGTTGGATAGGTCGACTGACAGGGAAATATGGGTCGAAGTCGACGGCGGATTGACCATTGGATGGGTGTGGTGGGCACAAGTTGAAAGGGCCGGTGAAGTGGACGGATGGGGGGTAGCTTGGCCTTCCCGTAATGGGCAGAGTAGGTGGGTCACATTCCTATATGTTTTTGGCTACTAAATCATCATTAGATTATAAATCACGCATTAGTTAGTATTTCCAATATAATTAAGCTCCTTGATTGTTCGAAGAAAGCATTAAAAAATTTATTTAGTAGGTAATTGTGATTTAGTTCATAATCTCATGCAACATGTCGATAGGGGACAAGGATTGTCTGCCCTCCTTATTCCTATGCCCTTCTGTTTGTGTGGTCACGATTAAGCCACGTCAACATTTTATATTACTATTCATTTTTGTTTTATTATCTCTATAAAAAACAATATAAGATATTGACGTGGCTTAACCGTGACCACACAAAACAAGAGGACACGGGAGGGCACGGGAGGGCACGTGAACAAAGAGGGCAGACAATCCTTGTTCGTCAATAGGGCTATCATCTGGTGGCTGTGGTTATGCCTATCCTATGCATGTTGTAGTTTACCTAAATGGGCAATGATCCTTGCGTGCAGGCCTCTAGGGGTTGGTTTTGTTTTTGGTGTGTGTCTCAATTGAGATTCTGCTTTGCAAACGGGATGTTTATCTCTCACGTATGAAAATCAAGATACGTAATTGCGAGATAACTATAAGGAAAATACAATTGGAAATAGCGAAGAATTTTCTCCTAAAGATCAATCCAATTGTGTAACAAAACAAATGAATTTTACCTAATTAGATATTTTTAACAAAACCAAGCATCTGATCCATCCTTAAGTTGAAATCAGTTTGGGAAAACCAAGAGAATATGTTTTGCTATTTTTTTGCAAATTTACAACCGACATCCCAAGTGTCCATCAAATCAACAACTGACATTTTTTACCTAAATTGCTGTTAGACTTTTATCAAGTTGTAGCAAGTTGACAGCAAAAGCATAGTTAATAAAAATGGTATATCAAATGATGTGTTATTAATAAGAAATAAACATGTTAATTATCATTTAAGTAATAATTCAATCATTAACATTTACATCATTTGATTTGCAAATTAGGTTTAAAAAATTTAATCTTCTTAATATTACCTAACCAAGAATAAATAAAGAAAGTAGTATCCTCTTGTTTATCCGACATTTCAAAACGCTTTAGAGATATACATTACACGTACACTACTTACTATAAAAGTTGGGTAGGCAGAATTTGTATCTTTAATAAACATGGTGATGTTCTGTAGGAAGATTTGATTTAGTCATAAAATTGGTTTAGTGATTACCTTTGTGTTTGGACGTTGTTGATGCACAAAATCAGCGAGGACTTTGGTACAACAGAAAGTGTCAGGTTTGTGACATTCGCTTGGTTGCTTCGATCACTAGTGAAGATAAGTACGTAAATGAATAGGGACAGGGAAGCAAACACAAGATGTACGTGGTTCACCCAGATCGGCTACGTTCACGGAGTAGAGGAGT